TGGGTGGGTATAGGCCACCGATAGAGTTCGGTGGAGAGAGGACAGGAGGGGCTGAAAGGAGGATTGGGGGAAGAGGGTAGGAGAATAAGGTGTATCAGGGCGAGGCAACAAACGGGCCTGGCGCGGAGAGCTGGTGAAAGAGAGGGCGCCTGCGGGTAGTTCGAGGGGGTTGTAGAGAGCTATGACGTCACTAGGAGCGTCATACCGCCACCCCTTCCACCCTCGATCAATGACGCGACCTTGCCGCCCTTCTGCACCCTCCTCCGTCCTCCGCGACCCACGATTCTCCACGTTACCCCTTCGGGCTGAACTAACCCGTCCCAGTACTCAAAGGGGCGGCGGCTGTTTCTGCAACCTGGCAACCCTGTCTATATTTAGCATCCATTCCATTCCCCACCAGGGATCTCCTCTTCGCGTTTCTCTTTCCCTCTTTCTCCCTCCTGCCTGCGAATCTACTATTCCCCGCGTAGAATTCTCGACTCTTCGTATCTTCCCTTTCTCCGTTGCACTCGATCAACCCGCTTCTGCGTCCTTGTCACCCTCGTGCCGTATTCTCTCCGTTATTCCCGCGGCTTCTGCTGCGTCACAGTCTCTCTTCCACTCCGTCGCTCTTCGTTATTCTCCAGTTTCGCGCTCTCTTACTCTCGTACCATCTCCGTTCGTTTTACGTAGCCTGAGCAGCGTGTTTCCCTCTGACGAGGCAACGATATAAACAAGCGGCCTGCGCCGGCGTCGACCACGGGAGGCGGCGGCTCGAACGACGCCCGATCAACAGACACAACTAAAGAGAGGCCCGGGTTGCTCGTCTCCCGCATCCTCTTCCTCGTTCTAGGCCTCCACGGGATCGCTGCTTGCCGATAGAAACTCGTTGCATGAGAACGTTTCACGAGGTCACGCGTGACTCCCTGTTCAGACGCTGACAACCAAATCTTTTGTAGAATTACTTTTCCTTTCTAGCGAGGTACGTACTTGTTGCAAAGTTGTATCTGAGAACGAAGAAGAAGAAGAAGATCCGTTTGTAACTGGACAGTTGGGCGCAGAGAAAGAATTTTGTTTATGGTGCTGTTGCGGGATATGCCGTAGATTTTACGACGTGGCTCTATTGAGATGTAGATAAGAGAAAGAACGATTCATCTTGAACGGCCAGACTATCGATAAATCGGCGCGATAATTCTAGATGATCGTGTCAGCTCGATAGGCGGATCTTCTAAATTTGCTGCGTAACGTTCTTGCCCTTTCCATTCAATTCCGTATACGTCCATCGAGTTCGATCTTTGTCTTTTCGCGATCGTCTAGGTTTATCTAGAGCTACTCTCTTGGTCCGCGATTTGATAAATATTTTATTCTATATATGTATTGGATGATAAATATTTTGTAACTTCAGTGTTCTTGTCATTCGATAGAATTGGAAAGAAACGTTATATATTTTAAAGCAACAAGATTGAAAGATAAAATAGAAATAGACTAGAGAACAAGAATATAAATTCCTAAAATAGAGTGCGAGGGAGAATCCTTCATATGGAACAGAGTAGAAATAATAATATTTGACCCAATAAAATACCTGGAAACGGAAGACCATATTTTGAAAGGAAATAGGATTATTGTTATTTAGTATAACTAAAGGACTATGGCACAAAAGAACTCTCTTATTATATCTTATTCACAGAAGCAAGCATCGTTATCATCCATAGCATCCTACAATTCCTTTCCTTCGGACCTCTCATTACTTCCATACGATACCAACGATCCTAAATCCAACATAATTTGAACATCAACCACTGTAATTGTTTACGCATTCATGGGAAATTTATACGTGCAGAAATGCACAGAATGCACAAACACGTTTAAACATCCGAATTTCTCGTAATATCTAACGGATGAAACAATTCGCTGTTCGAATTCTATTTATTTAATTATATTCGCGAAAGTATGAAGTTCTCTAAAGATCTTTGGTCAAACGATTATCTGAATACTCTGACTAAACTACGGCGTTTATGAACTTCTAGCAAACTGAGATAGACGCAAGGATGCACAGAATCCACCGAACATACAAAACTATACGAAACATTCAAGGTACAGTACTCGTTCGAAAATCTGACACACGAAAAACCTTTTTCCTTATCTAATTTCATTTCTTTTATTGTACCGAGTTAAATAATAAATTCGCTCGTCTTTCGCTAATGTATACATTTCGAAGAATATTATGGAAATTCTTTGAGGACTGCAAGAGTACATTTGTTTGTATTTTTTGATGACAGATATATATTAAAGAAAAACAGTAAAATAGACAAGTTACTCCTTGATTGCGTAAATCTTATACAATAGTAATAGGACTCTACGTTCTAAGCAAACACCCATAAACTTGTTTCTCGACTTAATATTTACAAAAATATAAATTCCCATAAGTATACGCGATCCAACCGCAACACAATCGTTTCTACAAACCGTGAAATATAAGGTGAGAATGATCGGGTCATTCCAGCCGGCGCCTACCTCAAACCACTCTTGCTACATACCAGAGCGATAAACTCGTTCCTCCGCAGCCCCACTTCCGAATTCCAACGCGCTAGGTGCCCGTAAAAATTCGACCGATTTAAATTCAAGCCCCGGCAGCTCGGCTGGCTTGGCCGTCGCGTTTTCACCAGGTAGACGAGTCGGGATCGATACGCGTTCTCCCGCTTCCGTAGGAAGTTCGTTTAAATTATCATGATTAATGTTTATCGACAAGCTCATCATAGTTGGTGTATATAATACATCTGGAGCGGCGCGTCTCGTCCTGTGATTGGCTCGCATCGATCGCGGTGCCGCTTCGTCGTTAGCATGTGAATGAGGCAGAAGCGAGTCGTTCGAATTCAGCTGCGCTCGCCATGGATAGCGGCGGAGAACACGAGCGGGAGGGAAAGGAAAGGATAGCGGGATCCATCGATCACCTGCCATTTGGCTGAAATAATTCGAATGCAAATGCGCCGCGGAACAGACGACACAGCGGGGAAGAACCTTTACGAGCACGAGTCTCGCGATGGTCATCTCTCGTTCCAGGTAAATCCAGGTCCGATAGGTGAAATTAGTACGCCGCACGTGGCCGCGGTCTCGCGTGATCTCGATTTCGAACGTTCTTTCGAGAAATTTTCCTTTTATCTCCGTCTCATCGTTATTTCGTATCTGATCTACGTGTCACGTGTTCTACTATCTGATGTTTCGGTTTCGGTGGTAAAAGAAAAGCGAGAGAGAAAGTGTGTGTATGTGTGAGTGAGAGAGAGAGAGAGAGAGAGAGAGAGAGAGAGAGAGAAAGAGCAGCGGCATCTTGTGTTTGTGTTATAACGCTCCTTCTGCCAGACTTTGACGCAAATAGCTCTTCAGCGACGCTCGGTACACAGCAGGTTGGTTGCCTTTGACTGTATCGGTCGTATTAGTCTGCATTAGCTAAATTAACGTGGTACGTTCGTGGAATTGAGTATGATGGGAGATGATCGAGAGATGAGGGCTGCTGTTTACTTTGCCTTGATCACGGTGCTTGTGTACAGATTTTAGGTAATTAATGATTTACAGACGGACTGTACATGCTCCTTCGTTGATTGTTACTTGTTGTTCGTTTACAGTTACGATTCTTTACGATTCTTTTGTTATCTTTATTGAGATATGTATAATTTTATGTGCTAGACTAGATTAGCTGCGTGGTAGTGACACATGTATGTGAATATCAGTGTGTGGAAGTATGTGTGCGCGCGGCGCCTCGAAAACAAAGGAATGTAAACGGTTCAGTCGGTTAACAGTCGGGTATGGAAGAAAGTGCTGAGACGCGTGCAAGTGTGTATCGATGAATATCTTTGAAATCGTTTAACAAATAATTATATAATTATTCTAATGTAAATTCTAAGTGTAAATTTAGTGTTCCTATACCATTATTTCGGCTATTAAGGTCCAAAATTCTCAACAATCTTTGTTCTTTTAGACGTGATCTAGATTCAGCAAATTCATCCCCCATGCTCTGTATATGATGGACATTAAAAACGAATAGAACCGTCTGACGATAAAATAGCAGATGTGTGTTATTCTTTAGACATTATTCAAGACAGACGTCGAGTATTTAATGAGGAGAGATGAAAGCAAAACGTCTTGAACGTTTTACGGAGAATGTTTCTTTGCGAAGAAATGAGAGGCTGGAAACGATGGGAGCTTGCGGAATTTGATTATTTTTAGAAGAAAGCCTGGTAACGACACCGCGTATCGACGTTTCCCCTTTAAAAATAATTACCGAGTCGAGTTAAAGGGTGAAGCGTAACACTTACACCGCGTCGTAGAAATATTTATATACTTGCCCTTGTTTCTTCGCGTCTACCATTCTGTTTACGTATTCCGCCTTAAGATACAATTTTTAAAGTCCCGTTCTACTCTTTTTCGCTGAATACCGCTTTGTACTTTGCCTGAATCGCAACAGATCCAACTTTAAAGGAACATCCTGTTATTTAATACAAGAGAGACCTTTCTAGCCTCGAGATAGTAAAAAAAAAGGGAGGAGGGAGAAAGAAAGAAGCTCTGAAAGCTGAAAACTACATCGAACAAACGTCGTTCGTTAAAAAAGTAACGCCTACTATTCCGAAAAGAGCATTGGACGTAAATATTTCCCCTTGGAAGGCCTTTCCTTTTTTTTTATCGCGTAACTAAACAGCAATTTGCCTCAATTTTCGTACTTAGTCTAATGGAGAATATTTCTTTATCGCCCGGTAAAACGGTTTTTACTTTGTACTTACCGTAAAAGCAGATTTTCTACCACTTTATTATTCATTATATGTTAATTTGTCCGGTATACCCCGTTGTTCCGCTTGGTCGTTACTTTTTATAACGTTATATACTTTCAACGCCACGTTCGTAGGCAACTTTCTATTCACGTTTTGCTCATCGAAATTTCGCATGGCGCACGGTTTATGCGATATCCGATGACGGTAGAATGTATCTATCTTTACGTACAAAAGGGCAGAAGTGCGCGAGGATTTCTCACAACTCTCTCCATAAATCATTGTGCGCGTTTCCGCACTGCGCTGGGACAATTTGCAATAACCGAATATTTAGCTGCTTCATAAACCGTGGCCAATCGCGTAAAAAATAAATTCCTATCAGGGAAAATCTTTATTCTCCAAACTGTCCAATTTTTCAGATTATATTCACAACTTTCAATCAATTTTTTCTTTTCTACGTTTTGTCCCGTTTTCAATTATTTTTATATTCTCGTGTTTGTAATTTTGTTCGTAATAAAGGAGACAATTTCGCCTACATATTGAAATATAAATTACCAATTAATGATTCACTTACCTGTGACGCAATTGGGTAGGGGTCGGATCGAATCACATAGCAGGTTACATTTAAATAAACGATCCTGTATTGTGACAAATTTGATTGGTATACAACGGTTTACAAGGGAATCGATCGTATCATGCCACGGAATGGTACGGGAGATGACGAAGGATACTCGAATCGAAGGTACAAGCGTAATTCTTATGCAGCGATCGGTGAAAGCGCAAACTGGAAGACGCTATTTTATTTCTTATTTCTCTTTATTTTTCCCTCATAATTTTGCTTGTTCGTTCTCATGTTTCGTTTTGAAATTCGTTCGACTTTCGTCGCGTGATCTCCTTCCACATTTTTTTCTACGTAATTGCTCTTTTTTCGAACGAGTTTCGAGTTTCGCTTTTATTCTCTCCGGCCTCTTTGCGCGCTTCCTTCTTTTACAGCTGGTAACGCATCGTCTGATCGGATACTGGGATATTCTACTGGATTTTCATAAATACTATTCACCAAATGTTCGTTTTCATCGCTTTCGATCAACGTGATCGAACATTTCTATGCATCCAACTAATTCAAAAAATCCATTATGTTTATTACTCGAAAAAATTGCAAAAAGTTACGCAAATTTTCTTATTTATTCTACGCGAATATGGAAGCATTTACAGTCATTCAATGTAAGATGTTATAAGAATTATTTCAAATATAAAAAGATAAACAGAGAAGGAAGGATGAATAAAGAAATAGAGATCTTGTCTGACCATGCGTTGACCTATTCTACTGAATCTCCGCAAATACTTCCAAAATAACTCTGCTTTTGTCAGTTTCGGTTGTTCTCGTCAAACATAACATTGAAAAAACGCCAGTCACTATGAAATTTTTTTGGAAAGACTATCCTCTTCCATGTTATATTTACAAGATTAGAAATTCCTTCGTACGATGGAAAAATCACGTTGCTGATCTTTTCGGAGGAGAACAATATTTACAACCATCCGTCGTAGAATATCCTGAAAGTTTTTCAAGCTTTATCTTCTTCTTCTTCTTCATTTCGATAATTCTACGTAGAAAAAAGAAAAGGAAAAGCGTAAAAGGTGAACAGGAAGAACAAGTGAAAACAGGTGAGTTGTTTAGTAACGACGCCGGGACGGTATACGGGGACTGTTACATTGTTCATTTTTATTTTCGTTCCGCTTCGTATCGGTGAGTTTGTCGAGGGATAGAAAAAGTGACGACGAACATCAACATGAAAACGTTAACGACCACAACGACGGAGGAAACAAAAATACCGTCGCTTTTATATTTGAATTTGGCGCCATGCTACTATCAAGAATAAGTTACTCCGGCGATTCGGATTCATTCCATTTCCAACGTCCATTTAAATATCTGACTTCCCTCGAATCGTTCGTAACTTTATCCTTTTTGTAAAGACGTATATAACGCTTGTCCTGCAAATTGTACATTGATCAAATGGATCACGCTGGGTAAAGTCGTGAGAACGTGCGGCCTTCGATCAAGATGACTCGAGTTTCTCTTCCGCACCGTTCTGATGCTCCGATAAATGCATCACCGTGTTCATCGTGTGTTACCATCGTTACGTTAACGGCTTAATACCCGATATACGCATTATCTATCGTTATTTAAACCGCTGATAGATAACAATTAGTCGTAATAAGAAAATCTGGCGATATGATAGGTAGATCGATCTCGTCGCTGCCACGTATAAAACTTGCTCGACTGTCGGCTCGATTCTCGTTTCTCTTTCCTTTTTTTTTTTTTTTTTTAATGGATCTATGGGGAATCGTGAAATAGAAAAAATTCGTGATGGAAGAAACGAAGAGTCACCAAGGTTCACGAACAATTGACGAGTATTCTTTTTTTCTTTCGTTCTTCGATAATCGTCGGTTTATGGCAGTTTGTTTCGGTAAATAAATGTGAACCGAAGTTTCTCGGCGGGATAGTTAGAGTGCGTTCCAGAAAAATAGTTTTATACGTCGCAACATGCAATTTTGCTCCGCGACCTCTCTCCCTTTGTTCAGTTCAGTGCTACGATGATACTCGAGTAACAATCGACGCTTGTTTGACACAGTTTGATTCTGATTTTTAATTTTGATTTAGATCGATCAAAACGGTTTAAAAACGCTCCAGGCGGCCTGCACTTTACATTTCAACGTGGACAGAGCTCGAGCTTTTGATTTTTACTTTATACTACTGGCGTATTATTTTCTCGCTAGTCGCAATATTTTGAACGTCTTGAGAAGTATTTTTCGAGGAAGCGGTGTTCTTTGATTTTGTTAATCTCCGCTTCGAAAAGAGGAATATCCATAATTTTAAAAGGGTATCTATATCACCTTTAAAAAAATATGTACATGCGCGTTTTTGCTTTTTCGCTCTTGATACACCTTTAGAATCGTGGAATTTATCGTATTAATATAAAAGAGTATCAACGAAACAGAACTCTCGAACACAGTGTTTTATATAGCAAATCGCTTGAAAATTTCCAATTACAAAAACTGTTTATTCGATTTGAAAGAAGCACGCGTGTTTCAAACAGAAGATTCATTTTCGATGAATATTTCCAAGAAACAATATCCAAACGATTCAAAAATTTTCACTAACAGAGCATCGTTCTTTTTACGTATCCTGTTCTCCTCTCGTGTTCTGTTCTTGACCAACGATATATATTTCAAGTTTGTTTTATACCTTGCGTCAGAGGTCTTCCTCTACCCCAGCCTCTTCTTTCGTAACAGCGTAGCACTGGACGTTATCGTTATCGGGAGAGATATCGTCTTTTGGCACGAAAAACCTTGGCCGTAAACGTCGTTCTTCGAGCCAGATCACGGCGATCCGACAACGCAAGGAAACCTGTTCGTTTTGCGGCGTGAAAACGGGGCCTGAAAACGGCAGCGTGTGTAAAAAGTCTGTGTCCATCGACAAAAGGAAAATTGTCCTTCGTCCTCTCTCGGCTCGGATCGGCGCGAACTGGCAGTGATAGGTACTTAATAATGCGTTTACACGATTATCGTTTAATCCTATGTTCTTCACATACGCTTTCATCACGCATTCTCTGACACATTTTCTCCTACGCTTTCATCTCACATCTCTCGATAAACGTCTATACGTATGTATATTTATATTTATATTTGTATATATATATATTTATATTTATATATATATTATTTATCACACACGCAGTACCCACGCATCGATGTGATTATACACCGTTCTCGTCAGTTAAAAAACGCATCGCGGCTCCAGTGTTGTTTCTTTTTCTTTTCTTCCTCTCTTCTCCTTTTTTTTTTTTTTGATTTCTTTCCTTTCTTTATTTCTTTACGCAACGAATTATCCATTCTCGCGAGATCCACAAAATAGTTTGCACCGGTGTACAACGATCTGTAACGAACAGTAATCCGTAATAAAAACTTAGCTGTCGCGATAATAGTAATCAGAATAATGATAATAATAATAGTAGTGTTACGCCACGGTCGACCTGTATTCTCTGTTTCCACACAGTTTTCTCAAACTTCTTCAGTTTCTTTCTTCCCTTTTATTCTTCTTCCTTCTTTTTCGTTCGATGTCTGCCAGAATTTCATCCGCAGTCACTTCTTTCAGAATTCTCTTCTTACGCGTTTCATCGTTCCTCCAGCAAGTTCTTTCGTTCTCTCGGTCGACCCGCGTATCTTCCCTCGCGAAATATAATGTATACATATACGTACGTGCACGCGTTCGTGTCTCGCGTGTATACAGGGCTCTCTCACGGAAATGGCAGTTGAGTGTGTTAGTTCGAGTTGCTGGTTGCACATGCACCCACCCCAGGACCATCGAATTCTACTATCGAATTTCGCGACCTGTTCTCGTCGCCGGTAGCCGGTCGTACGCGTTGTCCTTCTCCTCTTTTCTCTACACCATTTGATTCGTCTCGTTCGATTCGATTACAACGTAATATATACAATGTACAAACACGGCTGTCCACGAAGATTCCTGTCGCAAAACCATCGTTCGTCTCGTCTAACAGAAACAAATATGGATACCAAGAATCTTCGTCGATCAGTCGTGACACACGGCTCCTCTGCGTTCCTCTCGAGCGATTCCTCGGACTCGTTTAGTTCCTGTTCGCAAGAACGAATCATTCCGAAAGGACTCGGTACACGTCATCGACGATCTCAAATCACGTGTGTGTATGTGTGTGTGCGTGTGTGTATGTGGCAGTACGATTCGAGGAACTTGAACAAACAGACGAATCGTTCTCGTGATCGACGCTCGAAATTCCAACTTCTTCGAGCTTCTCTGGAACACGGAACTAACAACGATCGAGGGATACGCTCGAGAAATCGAGCGTCGCGGATATTCGATTTGCGGCAAACGCGTTGCTCGGGATTATTGGATCTTTGGATCTTTGTGCCAGGCTGTCGGACGATCGAAATTTTAACGATCTATGACCAGCCTACGGGACAGGAGAGCTTCTGTGCTCGTACTGTGATTTATTTCCTTGTTTTCGTTTTTACGTGATGTATTCGGGTTTGTATTCGCCGAGACGACCAGCCCAGACGCGCGGCGAAGCCGGTGTCCAGGGCACCGCGATGTCTAGCATCGTGATGCTCGGCCTACGCAGGAAAGGCGAGAACCTGGACTTTTTCGGGCTCTTCGGCGGCGAC